GGGGGGGAAGGGAGGGGGCATTTTTTTAAGCATTTTTCATATTCGGCCGTGTCTGTCCCGAACGTATAGATGTGTATAAGAGACAGCCCCACGATCGCCCCAAGCTCGACGAGTAATTTCACAAGATTCCATTTCGGCGCTTATTTCGCTACGGCAACCGGAACCTAATGCGGACATAGAGCTTCTAATTTACCCGGCCATAAGAACTTGGGGCGTCCGTGTGCCAGCGGCTGACAGGTCTTCGAATTTCGATAGGGATCATACGTGTTCTTATAAACTGTGGGGAAGAGAACCATCTAATCAGAACAGAAGTGGAATTTATTTACATCTTTTGGTGAAATTAATAATTGCAATACTTATGTTAAATATATAAAAATAACTTATATGTTAAGTCCTCTACGATGGCTCAGCGGCTTGGCTTCGCGCGCTGGAGGCCTGACTTCGAAACCATCAAGCAGGGACCTTTCTCTAGGTCGATTTCTCACGAGGTATATGTACGGCTCTGATTTTTTGTTCCTGTTACATATCCGACATTGTTGCTTGTCCTGTCCTACTCTGTGTGTTTACGTAATCCTGTAAATGCGTGATCGTAAGAAAAGATTGTCACTCACTCAGTGTGATAGTGCGCAGTCACTGGATTTGAAACAAACGGAAAATTTTGCAGCGAATTGATTGTAGAGGTGACCATTATTGGCTCATCGGTGCTAATAGATAGTTAGTGGTGGAAGAAGAGTTTTCGGTCAAGTGGCACTGGGCAGGTAATAGATGGAACATGGGCCGGACACGTACGCTATCGACGCCGCATCATTACGCCATCGGTGCTCCACCTGTAGTTTCCACCTATTGCCACAAATAATCATCGGTGCGCCACCAATAATTTTCATTTAGTAATTCATGTGGATTTTTTTCTTGCTTTTTCGTTTTTTTTTATTTTTCCGACTTTTCGTTTTGACGGGTAACGGGTAGCCCTTTGGTAATTTGGTAATTGGTAACGGTCTCACCTCATCTGCAGTTCTGTGATAAACTACGCTCCTCGAGGGAGAAGCGATCTTGAGCAAAGAAATTCCATTGTCTGATTCTCGTGCTACCGCACTCTACAGCACTACGAAGACATGGATGCTTCTACATCCATAAATAAAACTTATGACGACAATGGTCGAGAAATTGAATTTTCCGTTTTTGAATATGCAGATAATTGTGTTCTTATAAGGTAATTAATAAGAAATATTCCATTAATATTGTTGAGCCATCAAGCGCATCAACACAAATTTTCGTTGCTGTGAAAGCCTTGCTTGCATATCCATTTTTCGGGAAATCTGTAGATAATCGCGTTTCTTTAAAGCAGTGGTACCAAACTGTGGTACGCGAGGGCTTTCCAGAGGGTACGGAAACACTTTCGGGGCGTTTTTTTTTTGTTAAATTAATCAATCTTACATAAAATCTTACATCATAATTTATAATGCCTAAGACGAAATTTGTGTAATTGATTTACAACAGCCGCCAGACGCCTCCATCATGGTTCCAGTGGCACACCGTTAAATTAGAATTGTACTTTAACTTGATTGGCTTATATTACAGCATTAAGAAGATGGAAATACATCTATAAAGATTAAGACATTGCTTAAATAGAAAATTGTAGTAACCGAGAACGAACGACGACGAATAACAAAACGAAAAGTACGCACGCAAAGGAGCACCGGCTGGATTCTCGGATAGGGGATGCAGACGCTAAAGCTCCATTGCCCAGCACAGTTTTGCCCAGGGTCATTGTCATTGGGGTCTTTGTCATTTTCTGCCCAGGGTCATTGTCATTTCCAGCCCTTGGACAACTTGCAGGTTCGGTAGACCTGCCCAAGCCCCCTCTTGTCGTACTTTCAGGAGACCATAAAATCGGTTAGAATATTTTGACTAGTCGCTAATTTTTTCGCTGGCAGAGTCGTTGGCTGCATGAAGCCGACGCAAGCCGAAAATTTTGTTTGGATTATAGGTAATGACAGCAAATAATGTCCAGGACAGTCTGGGGGGGCAGAAATATATAAATTAAAAATAATGTCAATTCGTGCAGCACGCTGGCGCAAGGATGTGTTCATAAATATCAAAATAAGTGTGGATGTGCCCATTACCTGTAGTTAGAAAAAAGGGGGTCCATCTCACCCCTCCATTTATTAAATGGGTATCACAGATCATCAGCAGTAATAACGCACGTTTTTTAGTAAAAAATGGACAGATTTTGTTAATTTTGAAACAACACATTATTACAGACTAAATTCAAATCATTGGTGGATTGTAGAATAATATTTTAATCGAACGTATTTCATATTCAATCTAAAAAAAATCATGGAATTCTTCATTAGATTCATCATTAAATATATGAGTGCATCACAATTCCAACATTATAACGAATAAATCTTCCCAGGTTTGACTACGACTGAAAATATTTTATAATAATAAATTTAAAATTGCGTGCGCAGAATGATTTGAATGTGAAAAAAATTTAAAATTTACCGGTTACTAATAGTAATAAAGTAGTGAACATATTGAACTGTTGAGTAGAAATGAAATGCAACGTGAGTTATAAGCAATAAAATTTTAGAATTTTAGTGTTCTGATTTATACTGTCTACAGTGTATATATATATATATATAATTCTTAGTACTGGTGCTATTAATTCTAACTAGTCAATAGAGCGATAACTCTTTTCATATCACAAGTCACTCCGATGGCAACATTGAGGTGCTATTTTAGGTACGGAAATACAGGCGCAAGTAAAAAGTTACCTCCTCGTTTCGTTACCTCTATTAACCACGTATCCGAAAGGAAATCGTATGCTACTAATAAACACAAATTTAAAGTAACATTTCAAAAAGGCATGCAGAAAATATAACCCTAAACAAAAACTTCCCTAGAGGCTACGTTGCAGAATTTATTTTCCTTTGAATCAACTGAAAATCAATAGCTCTTTCTATCACTTTTACGACAGATTTTCTGGCAACCAGAAATTATTTTCGTACGAGTATCTAATATACATCGGTAAAAATATGACATCGATTTGAATTAAAAACATAAATGAAGTGAAAAATGAAATGATTCTACATAGGGGAATGGAATCTTATGCCTGATTTTTCATGAAAGGGAATTTATTTCATTTCTGGGCGGAACTACGATTCTAGGCCGATTCCGATGATACTTTTTGGAGCAATTGTTCGATTCGCCTATGTTATGAATACAACTTATGAGTCATGAAGGGAGAAGCAAAAAAAGTAAAAAAAAAAGTTGGAAAATACGTCCACCAATTTCAACATATCATTGTTGAAAACATTCCCGGTGAAGAAATAATGAATTTACAGGGCACATTCTGGGCTTGAATTTAATGAATGAATATTAATAATGAAATAATGAAATTACAGGGCAACTTCTTAGTTAACGTTCGATACAAGCAAACTAATGATATAGTTATTTATGAATCATTTTTGAGCTTCTTGAGGCATGAGAAATAGTCGTTCAGGACAGGAGAATGATGCAGTAGACCTCATTAAAGAATCTCGATCAGATTCCCCTTGTTTTGTATTACATTTACTATTGTACAGGCCACACATTTTTGAAAGCAATGAAATTATTGCATATGGAACCAAATTCGAATTATCATTCTCAATGTCGGTATTTCATCGAAAATACTATATACTCTAGCAGCAGATTTAATGCACTCCGTTGTAACACCCACGAGATTTAACCTATGAATACTAATAATTTACATTTTAAAATTACCATTAATATAATACCACATCATTCTTCTATACCGCAGGTATAATATGAGCATGGGTTACCTAACAAATTATTCAAGAGTATACATTTAGTTTTGCATGCTGCCTAATCACAACTCGTCAGAATTAACAGGAATAAGGTATCACAAAAGCGTCGAAATTAGTGGCCTAGAAGATGATAGCATTGCCTTCGTAGACGTTGAAGAAAATGTTGCGAGTTATAAGGTTTCTGCTGATGTTTTTGCGGGCTTTGTCTCTTACATTGAAGAGACGCTGCTTCATTCGAAGTAGCGGACGTGGTTGTTGATGTTACTTCCAAATGAAGACTATATGAATCACAGTCAGGAGTGTAGCTGAGGTCGAAAGTTCTGTAAGTAGTTAAAATGAATAGATAAGCTCTTAAATTACTTAGGACAATGATTATCAATCCATGTGTACTAAACAAACACAATTTGGTCGTCTGCCACGCAATTCCCCATGAGTAACGTGAAAAACTCTCAACATTGATTTCATATCATTCATACGCTAATGTTTCGCTATCAGATCCTTAATTGAAAAATTTGATCCGTCAGTTTTTATACTGCTGTCCCCTTGTCAAACGATGGAGGTTTTTCGAATTCTGTTCGGTGCCTCAATTACACAAGGAAAGCCCATGCTCTTTAGGGTTGTCCTCGAAAAAACTTTTTTTTTAACACTGAGCGGCAATCTTTTCTTACGATCATACATTTCAAGGACTACGTAAACACACAAAGCATGGCAGTACAAGCAAAAATGTCGGAAATTTAGCAGAAGCAAATCCTCCTAACATTTTCAATCTTCCTCTTTATCGTACCTCTGGCCAATATCTTCATCATATTTCAGTCATCTTCTTACTTTCCTCCGCGAAAATATGAAATCACTCGATGAATAAAAATGGTACACCTGATAATAATAATGGCTCATCTGACAGCAACACAAAATCATACAACTCAACTTCCACCCGTTCTTCGTAAAAACACTACCGAGTATTTTACAGACACAAGAGGTCATCAAAGTACTTGCCTCTCCCTCGCCTCTCCTATGATGACCAAGCCACTAAATACAAAATGTTTCCCTACAGTGGGCACAGTTCATTTGAAATTTTCATCGATAATTAATATTAATCCCCACACGCACACACATGAAATAGAAACAGTTTTAGTTTAGTTTTTATGCACCCTGCGCACTTTTTGCTTCCACTTGTTATTCGATTTTATTCTTCTCCTTCTGGCCATGATGTGCCACCGTTTCTTCATCAGACCTTCTCAGCATCAGTGCACATGCACCATTTGTTATCCAGTTGTACGTTCACGAAAGCCTTACCTCGTCTGGAGGTCCCACTCCCGGTGATGGCCTCATTGAGAGCCGCTTTCTGCTCCGCGGAGAGGCTGTCCCTTATCCCACTGTTCAGATTCATCGCTGTCGTGCCAGAAAGACTACGAATCTGATCCGGCGTCATCGCCTAAAGGGAAACCATTGCGTGCGTAAGAATCATGTAAGAGCTTAAGAGAGGCATAAATTTTTCAGCAATTGCTCGGTTATGAACATTGTGTACCTCAAACTCGGTTCCAAAGCGATCATATCACAATTTCCGCACATTGTTCGCACTTTATGCTACAAATGCACCCTGTGATACATGCACGTCATACCAGTTTGCTTGGCATTTAAAGCGATTACGGTGTGTCCTAATCGCATTAGGTTCTAGTCGTTTCATTTTTTTCAAGATAACATTTTTCTCCGAGCCTTCTAAATCTCGTGCCTTTTATTCGGATCATGCACATCAATTGTTACACGGGCCATTCAATCATCACCCCGCGTACCATTCACTCTAAATTGCAGGGACTGAAAGCAGTCCTAGAAGTGACAATGGTAACATGTAACCACGTTAGTTATATCTCTCCATGTCACTGAAAACTCATGATATTGTACCTCACCAAAACCTAACCTGTCCATCATGTGCCATGAAGAGAGAGCAAAACCTGCACCTCAAACGAATAATGCGACCAAATCCATCAGCGGCTAAATCCCACGTTCCCTGTGTTATATTTGCCTCGCAGAATTGCCTTCACTGTACAGTAACTAACATCCCAGTGTCTCCTGTTCTTTATTCTGAATGCTCTATTACCATACGTACTCGGATTGCGTCGCTGGTCATGGTGCGCAAGGCCGTGGGAGTGAGACCGGTGAAGGAGCTCGGTTCGAGTTCCTTGATCCTGTCCGGTTGAATGCCTGCGAACACCACGCCCATTTCTCGCACCTAAAAATTACGCCGTAAGAAGTGGCAGGCGAGACAAAAAACGTATCACATTAGAACATTTTACACCGCGCCCATCGTCTCACTTAAGGTACAACATTATGAATAACAGAAGGCGTTTGACTAACGAATGATGCTATACCTGCAAACAATACACTCAACTTACAAACTACGTTGAGCTAAATATTGCGCCAACTCCCGCACTTGCTAAATGATATTCCAAGCAAAATATAACGCTGCATACAATTGCGTCAGGTACGTAGACCGGCAATGAACGATGAAAGGAAGCGGTCTGGACAACAACATAAGTAAAACACACGGAATCTATCTACTGACATCATCGCGCATGTTGTCTTCTATTTATGAATTATCATTTGCATTTAGAAGCACTAATACTATGTTAACTTGTTTTAAAATGTCAGCATCAAAACGTAATACGAAACCCAGCGAGGCAATACATTCGTAAACTAAAGACCAATTAAGATCAATGCCACAAAATACGAAATGTTTTTTGACAGCCTAACATTGATATCCGTCAACAAATAATGGTTGTATGGTATCATCATGGTGGCTTCATAAGACACGTTAGAGTAGTACACAACTAGTTGTAGTTGTAATAACTAATTGTTAGTTGTAGTTGTAACAAATAGTTGTTAGTTGTAATATAATAATATAGCGGTTTTAGTGTTTATTTGGTCGTGGGCCTGTCGTCGATTCTTAACATTGCAGAACACCCACTGCATGCTGCGGGCTTGAACTCGCAACTCACTGCATCAAATTTTCTTTGCTTAACCGCCTGGCCTCCTTGCCGATTCTGACCAGAAACTGGCGCACAGAGCGGGGTTCGAACCCACACCACTCTGCTCCAATCCTGGTACTCTGAACTTTAACAGTTTAACCACAGAACCACCCCGCCTATCTGTAGTTGTAACAACTAGTTGTATGTCAAAATTTGTTGAGCAATAAGTAACCTGAATGGTAAATCTACATTACCTGGGCCTTGGAAATCGGGCGTGGGTAGTAAATGAGAGCTTTTACAGCAAGAGGCGCCAACACATTCTCTCTACTGCACCCTTCCAAAGTGACCCCAAGGAAGGTTAACGCGTTTCTGCAATTATTAAATTATTCTAACCAATTAGTCAATCAATATGGTGAAAGTAAGCGATAGTGATATCAAAGCAATAATATGGGTCTGCGACTGCAGGATCACCATTCGTGACGTGCAATTCTTTGAGAATCGATTCAATACAATCTGAAATTTTCAGTGAAAAATGAACAATTTTGGAATGCTACCTTCACAGCTAATTAATGCGGGTAAAATAATAAGAATTTAGCAAGAAGCTCACCCAACTCTTTCTGCACTAAGCTCGTTGATGAGGGAGGCGTTGGTGGCACACAAGAGGCGGTTGAACATGGCGAGCTGATTGTCCGCCATGCTGTTAAGTGGCCGCCATGTCGTGAGCACCCTCTCTGCATACGCTCGAAGCTGTTCAGTAATTGAAATGTTATGCCAGGCTTCTGGATTAAATTTATTTTGTAGAGAATGAGTGAGAACGCACGCGAGTTTCCATGAATGAACTTGTTTGCGGCGCCACCAAGAAAAATCGTATAGAACAGCAAATGTAATAGAGTGAACAGAAAGAGGAAGATAAATTTTGAAACCAAAAAAGGACTATTTGCATTGCGCATAGTTAGGTTTTTATTTCATTATCAGTATTAGGTTGAGGATAGATGTAGGGATGGGGAAGGAAACCGGTCTGGGGCCGTATTATCAAAACTTCTTAAGTACGCAAAATCGACTTACGAGTGGCGTAAGTGCTGACTTGATGACGTGACTCTAGAGGTGGTATTATCAAAACATTTGCGCGGGAAGATACGTAACGTAACTGTACGCCTGCTCGGAGATGTCGTAAGTGAAGTTCCCCACAAGTTTAGAGTGTCTGCTGAAGCGATAGGAAACTATTGATTTACTAGCAAGTAGCAACACCTTGACTTGTGATAGAATTTTGTCAATAATCCGACAGCGCGGATTATACACGCATAGAATGATGGCTCTACTTGTGATATCTCCACTACTTGATCGTGCAACATTTGCTCGATCAAAATATGTGATCGTGCTAAACAGTGCTATTGAAAAAAAATCAATTGAGTTAATGCCAGAAACTGATTTTGTTTTCCTTTTGCGTTATATTTTGCAAGCAAATGCATATTTCGTTATATTTTACAAGCGCGAAAGCAGAGCTTTCGCGCCCAACTCTCATAATTCATTCCTTCTAGTCGGTACTTTATATCTCTGCCAACCATAATTTTTAGCTCCGGACACAGATTTCTTCTTCCACTCACGCTGTTTATTAAAAAGTATTAACAAGTATTTTAGAACGGCTTTTTCTGAGCCAACAAGGAGCAATACCGACAGACCGCATTCGATAGTCGATAGCATCGAAGGCATCGATTCCCGCCATCGAAGTTCACAGAATGTAAACAAATCCCAAGCCTCTGATTGGTCAGTTGGCCAGATGGTTTTGATAGTACACTTTTAGCTAAGTCTTACGTACAAATGTTTTGATAATGCCAAAATTAGGGTGTACTTTCGTAACACGTAACTTTTTTGTCGGAAGTATAAAAAGTTACGAAGTTTTGATAATACGGCCCTAGGGTTTTAAATGGGTTACGCAGAGAAAAGATAGGCAGGTTTTTTACTTATTTTACTTACAAAATTTTACTTATTTCGATTTTCAAGTATTTTTAAGATTTAAAAAGCCTCTATTTGCGTTTTTTCGAAAAAGATTTAAAAGCCTCTATTTGCGTTTTTTCGGTTAATATGTGCACGTTTGTTTTTAGTACTGGAGTTGGTTGTAAAGATATTGTTGAGGATGATGTGCGTTCATTGCTCATTTGCTTAATGCTCGGAAAGAAAAAATTTGGATTTAGGTTGAAGAGTTCAAGCCTCTGCGACAAAGACCTCTCAATAATTCATTCTTCCTCACTGTGCGTTACTCGCGGTGCGTTTTACCAGTCTTTCAAAGTAGTCATGGTAGTTGCACTTTGACGGATAGTGGAAACCGACGTCCAGGTAGAGTAGACATCACGTGTAGCGCCGTTGTAGTGATATTGGTGGTATGGTGTTTATGTGTAGATTGAGTGACGTCGAACCATAATTTGCAGCTTTTGAGTAAACTGTGTTGAGGATTGAGAGTGCTTGGCGCGAAGGTGTGTTGGTCGAAGAACTGGGAGCCGTATGATTAGATGACAACAATGTTTTGTGCTGTTGTTGGAGCACTAGGTCCTTTTTTACTGATCAGTTGTATTCTTTATCATCCGGATGTTATGGAAAGTTAGTAATGGGGCGAGTTTGTGAGAGTGGAAACAAAAGAGGATGAAGGGAAAACAGATACCCGTGTAGACTTGTAGTGGAGGAACTATGCGATTTTCAATTTTGATGGATGTTGTCTTGCCTGTAAGATAGTCGCTAGTATTTTGTAAAGGACGTGTGTATGTTAAGTTGTATCATTTTGCAGCCCAAAATCATGCCGAAAGCCACTGCCACGTCATGGAGTTGAAGTTTAGTTTATTCACCAAAAGAGTTCGTGCTGATCCCCTTCCCAAAAAAAAACTTATCTAGAGGAGTCTTTGAAACCCTTTATAATATAAATTATTCATTTCGTTAATGGAACTCATTATATTACAGTACAGTTGAGAGATAAAAACGAAAGCACAGCGAGCAGCGGGCACTCTTGGACAAGCTTTAACCGCTCAATGGCTACAATACAAAATGAGCGTTGCACAGCAGCACTTGTTCGTAAGACTTCGTTAGATTACATCGTTTAAAATGATGCACAGTGTTTAATTTTTCAGCATGGATGCATATCTCATTAATTCTTCTTATTCATTTCAGCGTCGTTTGTTTCAAATTTTTGTCTACCAGAATTAATAGTCGTTCATACGAATCAGTCGCGTTGTGTCGTTCAATAAACAACTACTATAACTTTTGTAGTAACTAAAAGTTAGAAGCGTCTGTCAGTATTTTTCGTCTTTATTGTAGGTCACGCTCGTCTGTCGCAACCCTGTCGGTATTCCGGCTGTGGTCAGCTTCTTAATTAGGACACCTTGACCTCATGTTAAACGTAAATTAACGGCTCTATTTGTCCACTTCAAGGTCTGGTTGTCCGAGCGAAATAATGGCCTGATCAGAATCTGGTGTACTCCAGCTGGTCCAGCTTCTGACCAGGGCCATCATAAGGCAGCCTAGGCTCACTAGCGTCTGTCTATATCCATCATGAGGCAGCCTGACTAGCTGTTCATTTCGGTTATATTACGTAGATTGGGCCCACCGAGGTATCGTCTTCTGAACGAGGCTGCTAATGCTAAATAGCGACCAAATACGTAGGTGGCCAATTCACGCCTGATTAACCTATAACGCCATAGAGTGCGACCCAAATTGGAACGAAAATTTAGATTGGGAATCCGTGAACACGGACCTTATGCAAAGGTTGGTACCGATTTATCGTCATTGAACTTGAGTTACAACTGTTCGTCATAACAAAGTATTATGATATGACCTTACCTGCTCGTCGTAGAATTTCATCTTTTCGTTGCCCAGGACGGATACAGTGTCGTAAAAGAAGACAGGAGGGGTGAGGAACGGGAGATCACGAATTTCGTGGGCCGGAATGCCTTTCATGATGTAGTTCATGTCACGCATGAGGTCATTCGTGAGGTTCGACCAGGAACGTAGCCTCAGTGATTCTCGTACTTTGTACGCCAGGATCTGTAAACACGAAGAGAAATGAGAACCCGAAAGCTTGAAATGAATGAAAGGTCATTGGAATGAATTCGAAGGGTCATTAGAAATATTGAGAGAAAGTTGAAGAATGCTGAAAATTTGAAGAAGATATTTTCATTTGAGCACTTAACATTTAGCTCGAACTAAATCTTGGATCATTCAACTAAATTGTTGGAGTTTTAACATAATCATATGGGATCGATCTTCCCATGACAATTCAACAGTAAAGAATTAACCTATTGACACCCTACGAAGAAACTTCAGTTTTAACAATCAATAAGGTAGTTTTGATGGTAACTTCAAATTTTACTTCTTCTTCGCATGATCTAATATGCAACCTAAGGTTATCCACCTCCCTTGCCAACACATATCATCATTATTGTGAAGACCCTATGTCGAACATATTTTCCTACAATTTGCATAGCTATCAAGGTCTCGTATTGTCCTAAATTTTCATGTCGAATATAACTGAAGGCACTTTGGACAGCAATGCCAGACCCATAACTTTTTTCTCATTCAACAGTACATATCTTCGTATCATTAGCAGTTTTTTAATGTCGTTACCCGCAATCATATTAGTTTTCATATTCTCCTATACGAGGATCCTGGCAATCAGCCTGTTCACATGATTTAGACGTCGATTTTGCTCATACCATGATTGCCCTGTGAGTCCAGTAGTCACCCAAAACATTGAACGATGATGCGTTGCCCATGCAATGGCTGAGATCGTATGCTCTTGATCGGGTCGAGTTCCTAGCGTATAGAAACAATATGCGTCTGCGCCACGTGCATACATAATACAAATAATATAGTTTAGCAATACTAACCGAGGCTTTGGAGTCGTCCATGTATCGAGACCCAAGGGCACCAAGGCATTGCATGATGGTGTCCGGGGTTGCGTTGTTCAGTTCGCCGTTGCTGATATCGTCCACGCCGCTCACCGACGCGCGATTACATAGCGCGATGTCGCTGAATGCTGAGCGGAATTACAGACTGAATTGTGAATCGTACACCCAAATAAAAAATTAGGAGCACTGCATCGTCTTACTAACAACGCCTCAGTTACGTCAGAGTTAAACAGTAGAGTTAATCAGAGTTAATCATGGTATTAATAAACAATTTAAAGGCATCCCGGTATCTTTTTAGCAACACCGAGATATATTTCTTATGCATGTCATTTAAATCAAAAATTCATACAATATACCCTCCTCACATCGTTTTCGTCGGCCGTTGGGGTTGTAGTTGGGAATGGTGTAAGGGTCAAGGATGTCTAGCGCCGCCCAGGCCTGCACGCGTCGCACGTTTTCGCGCTGCCAGATCTCACCGTCGTAGTCGTCGCCGATGTAGTTTCGGCATTCCATCTGTTTAAAGTGAAATGGTCTCTCACAATCGTTATGTTTAGTAAAGTAAAATGTGTGAAATTGTGTAAAAAGTTGCATAAAATTGTGTTAAAATTCATTACCAGTCAAAATTCCTAGGCGTTTCAGCGACAATTAAGCACGAGGCAGAAAATCATGTGCGCAGAGAGGGCTAGTGACCGTCTTGCCCAATAGTGAGTGGGCCGGTAGAATAGAAGATGAGTTGTGTGGCGCTCCTGATAAAATGCTTCAAATCTCCAATGTAGTAATCACTCAATGTAAAATCAATCTTTCAGATTTTTTTTTTGCCCCGAAGTCCTACTTAAAATGTTGTTCGATGCTCAGTAACGCAGTACGGGGATCAAAATCTTGAAGTTTTCAGCTTTATCGTGATATTGGTTTTCTCTTGGCCAGGCTGCGTCTCAATCGTTTTGAAACCTTCATTATTAATTAATATTACTTTATTAACTGATGAATAGATACGTTAATCTATAAATGCCATAACGAAGTAAGACCTCACTAAAGAAATATTTATGAGATGCCAACAGGATCGATTTCGCCGTTGCTAGCTGAAACTTAGAAAACTTATTACAAAATTTTCTCATGAGGTAAAAAAAATTATTCAAAATATTTTGGGACGAGGAGAATGAGTTGTTTATTGCTGTTTTTACGGATGAAAATATACATCACAATGCTACGTAAAAATTTGAACGTCGAAATCACCTACTTAGGGTTGGTATTAGAATGAAGGGACTTTATCATGCTTTTGATGGTTTGCATTAGGTAGTTAATTAAATTTGTAGTCAATTGGAATAGTTAATGAACAACTGCATGTTATATAATATTATATGGTTGTGCTTCAATACATACGTGTTTTCCCGTGAATGGTAATGTAAATGAGTGATCTATACACGTAAGAAGTCAAACCTAAAATAAAGTATTTATTCAGGTAATCCCTCGTAAAAAACCCTACGACTAAGTCGTAGGGTTTTTTTGGCGTCTTGGTAGAGTGAGGACCTAAGATTAAGTACCACTGACGTCTTTGTACACCTGACATCCTAGTTTTTTTCAATCGGAACGCGATATGTGCATTCAGTACAGTTTACATACCGATATCGATTTAAGTACTACATATATACATGCGTGAAATGTGGTTTATTAATTCTTGACACACAGACTGCCATGTACAGGGTGCGGCGTGGGAACTTACTCTTTTAAAAAAATCACAAAGTAAAAAGTATTAAAGATAGCGTTTTAATTCTTTCTTGCGAACGCGCGCTCCTCTCTCGACCACTGCATGGTCGCAACTGAACTGAGTGGACGAAAAACTTCATAGCCCGCGCACCATATTGCGCATGGCGCCACCTTCCTAGGACTAATGGCCGCCACGTGGCGCGCAATTCAAATAAGTAAGTTCCCGCGCCGCACCCTGTACAGTATCTTGCGCCGAAGTTTCATGTCAGCAGCTCGATTAGTGTGGTTTGGTGCGCCTAACTTGCCTACTAAAGCCGCTGCTGCTCAGGAGCGGTTGGGCGCACTGAAACACTTTACTCTTCGTCGATTTCGAAAGTTTTGTAGCAACATCCCGCCTGACTTCTTGAATCAAACCACCTAGGAAACAGTTCATTCTTGTGTTAACTTTGTCATACCCGTTTTGCTCCTTGTCAGTTCATCACCAGCCCTATACCTGTAAACAATAAACTTGCCTCACACCTTACTCCAGCCTCTCCCTAGCCTCTGAGTTTCCGTATACGTTTATTTCAGCGTTGTCAGCATCGATCTTTACAGTTTACAACTCGTCGCTGTCGATATACTCGACAGACTCGTCGATATAGTCGGTGCTGTCGACTCGATTATGCTCGGGCACCACATTCTCTCGCCTCAAACTAAATCTACTTTAAAGCGCAGGTGATACGCCCTTAATTTTTCACTGCGTTGCATTTTACTTGATGTTGTTTTCGGTATGGGAGTTAAGGGTTGAAACACGGCTTATCAACCTACCTGCAACCTTTGGGATTTATTATTTTTCTGAAGTCATTGAGAAGAAAAGAATTTCTGGGGTTCAACAGCCTAACCGCAGAATTTGTGCTTGCAAGTAAAATGTTTCCTGTTGGATTTAGCGTGATAGACTTCTATATATGTAGATAATTACATATACCGAAACGAATTTCCAACCTTAAAGTTGAACGAATAATCCAAAGTCAGACGAAGAGATGGATATGGAATAACAAAAACTGTTACACGCAAGGTTGCAATGACAGACAAGATAATGCATTGGATTTATCTTATCTACCCTGTCAAAATTTAGGCGCCGCTATCGTTCGGTCTTCGGTTGCCGCTCTCGGATTAAAAATGAATCGGATATGAGATGTCCGCCTCCCCTAATCAGCCTCCCAAAAGGTGCTATTTTGGGTAGTTCCATTGTAAAAAATATAAAGAATCAAATGACACACGAATGACACACGCTGGTCAGGCCACCATTGGCTTGCCCCGCTCAGTAGCTGGCATTAATTCTTAGCGCGAGCACGACAAGCCTCTGATTCAAAAACCCATATACGATGCAAGAGTAGGCGCAAGAGTTTCTAAACGCGTGGGCTTTACCACTCATGCATTGCGTGTACGTCAACGTGTGGGCATTGCGTTTTCTTGATTTGAATGTTTTATTTGCTCACGCAAACCGCTTCAAAACTTTTGGGACAAAATTTTGAACGAAATTTTAGGGTCGCACCAGCGTTTGCGCGAGTTTCATTACGCGTGCAATGATTGTCCATCGGCACGCGACCATTACGCGTGCTAACACGCGTGCGTTGCGTTGTCTTCGACCCGCATGCACCGCGTTCATGTCAAGACGCTTGCGATACGTTTCAGTGAACACTCAAGTGTTACTCTTGTGAGAACTCCCTTGCGATATGTGTTCATGAACACGCGTGCATTGCTTGTACGTCGAGATGCGTATATTGCGTGTGTTCACCAAAACGCCAACATTTCAGAGGTAGGGGTATCAAATGAATCCCCTTTATACTCCCTAATAAGGAGTGGGAGGTTAGTTATCAACTACCCGGCTTGAGACAAAGCAGTGAGAGGTGGTTCGGACTGCGCGCCGCAGGCGCTGATCTTGAGCAGTTATACACTGTTCATCTCGTGCGGACGTCGGTTGATGCACGCATCAGCATCAACCATGCACGCATGAAGTCTACGTCTTGCAAACAACTTAGTATTAAAAACTGAAAATTACCGTTTTTGACATTTTCAGCAATACAAATTCCTTACCTTTTGCTGTCCAGTGCTTTCTAAAGTGGAGTTCGTTGCAATACTTCTCGTCGGGAGGCGACATTCTTCATGACTACGCAATTTTAATTGTGCGTTCAAGATTTTAGCAGCGGTTGAAATTTTCACCTCTGGGCATGTGAACACGAGCATGGTATTTAAGCTGTTTCTGTTCATATGCTTAAGGTTCTAATTTCTAAATCAACACGTCAACTGGATCAATTTGTGTAGTCGGAACTCGAAAGTTTATCATTGCCGAGGATGCTACCTAACCAACAGTCGACCCCACTGGGCGGGCCAGCTGAACACGATGGAACAGGTTGCAGAGCGTATACCGATTATTCACAAGTAAGTTAGTTGCTTTTGTTCCGTTCTATCTACTCTATTTCGTTGTAGCATCAGGTTTCATTATGGAGTTACATTCAAGTATAAGGATTAATTTGGTTATTTCTGAAGAACTACACATTAAACGAAGATAGATTCAGGAAATTTCCATCGAGCTCAGCAATATTGGAATGGTATTAGACGTTAGAAATTCTTCTATTCTTCATATTATCAGCAGTTGCAAGCAGTATTTTCAGACCCCGGTAAAATTTTTTGCTAGACTAATGGTTTCTTCAATCAAAGAACTGTTCAGCTTTGGGCATATGTCTGCATTCTTGAGCTAATTGCTCAAGCAGAAGATAGCTTATGAACTCTCGCTTACAGGGAGCCCCTCTGTGAGCAACATATTTGATTTGAGGATTTCCATAACCATCGTTTATTCCGCTTTTTATTTTATTGTCTCTACATGAATTTGGAGTGCAGTTGATAACTTTAATGATTGTAAAGAACTACATGTGAAACTCAATACTGTCATTGCAGCAGCCGACGCTGGATGCAGAAAGGTCCTCACTTGCCATGAAGTGTGAACAACTGAAAGCTGCAATCAAGTTAGTGTCGTAACTCGATTTTGTTAAGATTAACATGTGCTTCTCCATTCAATTGTGTGGTCTTTCTTTCGTCGATGGACGCAAAACTTCGAGGCCCTCGCAGAACTATTTGCTCGATAGAGATTTAAGGTAACGAAAGTTACATAATTGGCTTGACTTGCATTACCTCGAATCAGTTATATTGATGTATCGATTGAATTTTTTTATTTGCAATTATTGCCCTCATTCCTAGCCACGCCATGTCAAAATAGTTACTAGCTGTAAACGTCTATGCATGGAAATTAAGCCTCTTATAGACTGTGCTTTGATCTTAAAACTAGGCGAGGAGTACTGGACTTCATATATATATACATATATATAGCATACAGAGATTCAAATGCCCCTCCCTTCCCGCCATAAAGGGGGGAAGGGAGGGGGCATTTTTTAACGCATTTTTCAGATTCGGCCGTGTCTGTCCCGAACGTATCAGCAACCAAATACGCGCGCCCCACGATCGCTCAAAGCTCGACAGGTATTTCACAAGATTCTGTTTCGGGGTATTTCGCTCTGGCAACCGGAACTTAAAGCGAACATAGAGCCGCTAATTTACACCGCCAGGCTCGCTTGCGGCGTCCCTGTGCCAGCGGCGGACGGGAATAAAAGTTTCGATATGGTATCTCATTGAATTTAGCAGATGAAATCAAGACAATTTGGAAAAAATCTGGTACAGTCAAGTCTAGTCTAGTTAGGAAAATCTAGTACACGTAAATGTGTCGATTAAATCTAAACATAAAGATTAAATGGTAAATTGATAATAACTGCACCTAGATTATAATTTTTCTTTGAAATTCTATATCTCGTTAAGGACAAAGTTAAGGACAAATTAGAAGACTGCAGATATGAGGTGTACTATTCCAGATTAATTAAAATCAATGTTAAATTATTAATATTATATTATTAGATAAAATTGTCTGAATCAATAACTCACTCTCAAACGTAATAACCTTATACCGGATCATGAAGTGTAGTCGCTGCAAAGAGGAACAAAATTAAATCTAGTTATGAAACACCATTTATGAAAACAAAAGTCAATAAGTACCTATGGAACTAATTAGTTACAGACCTGGCGGGCCTCGTCTTCAGGGGCGTACTGGGCGCGGTCGGCGATGTGGCACCGACAGGACATGAGGGCCCCGCGGGGGATGCGGCTCAGCGTCCCCGACGGCAGCGTGTACAGCAGGCAACACAGCCCCGACATTTGCCGCCATGTCTGCGGGTTGTCGCTGGTTTGGGAAAGTGGAATATTGGCTTTAATTTGTTCATTCATTAAGCTTGATTTGTATTATAAAATTGGAAGGCTCATTAACACTATAGTTGTTGGACAATATTTACACATATCTAATATTCATTCTTTCGCGCATTTTATTCTCAATTATCAGCTTAGCACAAAATTTCAGTCATGACTATTTTATAGAAGTAAAAGCTTTACATTGCAAAAATTTCCATTATAAGATAAAATGCTAGTATATTTAAGATAGTCAATTGCGTCGTAAGATAGCTTGCAGAGAATCACACTCTACTTTAATTCATACTCTAAACAAAATAGGTCTTTTCACATCATTTTTATAAACTGATTTTCTAGATCAACTTTTGTGTTTATTTCAACGAAATGTGACATCACCGCAAGTTTAAATCGGAAGTGATCTTGGATTTATTTCGTATTTTAGTTTCACATCTATGGTTCATTTTCCTCTTTGTAGAACTTTTGATAGTATTCGATCACTTCCTTTTGAACTTGAATATACCCAGTTTCTGTTTTGCTTGATTTTAGTATTTTTTTTCAAAAAATCTAATTAAAACATTATCCTTTTGTGTTACTTCTACTTCCCTGCAGGCATCTGACGTTGAAACAATATCGATTACTAGTCGATTTCAGGTAGAATTTTGATCAACCAAAAATAAAACATAGAATCAACGACGAAACGTGACCACCACCCAAAGGGAGGTAAAGCATTTCAGCATTGAAGCAACGTCGATCTTGATGTATTGAATTGAATCTATTTTCCAACTGCTTATTCTACGATGAAATTTGAACAAAAATAAGGTCGTCAATGATATTTCCTAATCTGGCTATAACTGCTAAGGATTTGCAATAGTTGATTGACACCATCATGCTTCTGCTCCCTTCAGCATAAAATGAAGGCTTAGTTCACACCATACCGTAGGTCTCGTGCCAGTCACGGTCCAGTCCAATATTCTGTAATACATTTATATAGAAGTATTTACACCAGCTGTGCAAGGCACCAGCCATATTTCGAGCGGGACGTGACTGTACCGTAACCAACTGTTTTTTTCCTGCCGAGTAAACATGATTCCCAGCACAACATACCAGATTATAGCAAATATACCAGATTATGAATATCCCTACCAAATACCATCGTTGCATACTACATTTGTGTAATCTGGTGTGAAAATATACCAGTTGGTAACGCTGCGTTACTGGCATGGCAAGTGGTACGATAGTAACTGAAGTGAGGACGGCCCGTGACCGGACTGAACATCTGAATGTACCTGGCTGGGAACGGATCGTGACTGGCATATGCCTAGCACGTGCCCGGCAGTATGGTGTGGAGCAAGCCTAAGTGATTATTACTCACCCATTGACCTTGATGATGAGATTAGCGATGGCCCCCCGTCGTCCTCCGTCAAGACACGGCATCAGGGCGCTTCCCGCCAGGGACTGGAAGGGCCCAAAATGTAGAATTGTTGACAAAAAATGTTTGACGTTCGAAAAATGGTTTCACACCAATCACATATCTGCTCAACACCTAATTCATCCGAGACAAGCCAAGCGATTGGTGCTGCCAAATGGCTTGAACTATAATTGTTACAGACAATTATCATCTCGTGTCATGTTCTGATAAATGCAGAGAAATGCAGAGTCACTACCCCAACAAAATTTGGGGACCGCCTAGGCTTCGGCCAAATAGTTACTACACCCGTCGCAAAATTATTCTGGGTCTGCGTGGCCACCCAATCGAAATCAGTTTCTGGTCAGAATCACTTATCTGACTTTATAGTCGCCTGAGAGAATGAAAAGTGTTGGCCGAGCCGGGTCATACCGAGCTGGCTAGCTGCTCAGAGGCTGACATTTGAACCATGAGCCGAAGCTGACAAAGAGAAGCTGATTTACGTGCTCCCCGAGTCCTAGGCGGCCATAATTCATGGTTGCACACGCCTGTTAATTTTTTTAGGTTAGATACCTAGCGTGAGCATGAACAGTCAAGTTCGACTATTGCGCGTCCTCATCGACAAACTTCATTATGAATAGAATTCTTATTTAATCCGTCCGGAAACAGTTTCTAAACAATGCTTGCACGAGATAACAGTTCCCTAAAGAAAAGAACTCGTTTTGTGCTGGTGACAGATATAATAAATCAACATACGATAATCTGTTAATATGTTTTATGAAGTTCTCCCTTATCTACCTCACGCAATACAGTTACTAATAAATAAATGTTTTTCATTAATTCATTTCATTTCATGTTTTATATATGAAAACTACCAAACACTCGTATTTGTCTTACATCCGCTCTATCAACGTGTTTTGGATGCAATGTTATGAGACCGCACGGCTTAAAGCTTAATTAACACCATACTGACGGCCCCTACCAGCCACGGTCCAGTCCAATAAATTCCAAACACTTCCACACAACTACAAACAAATATCTCCGTCAGACGTTAAAAATGTGCACAGTCGCCACACCCGCCTCCTCCTTCCGTCCCACAACCTCTTCTCTCCCTTCATTACGTTAAAGATGCCGAGAGCTGCAGGAGCTCCTTCTGCCGTCACTGAGTTCAGCAGATCCGCGGGGAAGAATAACAGGATTTCCCTGTACATGTTTACGTGCGCCAGCGTCAGAACACTCGGTCGGCCCTGCGGTAGTCAAAAATTTCCAGGATTATTGCCAGCAGACTAAGAGAATTGCCCGATATGTACCGATCAGGCTTGAAATACAGTGGGCGTTCATCGGAGATACGCTGGAATTTAAAACACTTAATATGTAAGAACATGATAATAAAACACATTTTCTAATATTGACTTCAAGATAATATTACAGTAGATACGTAAATGAAAATTCTCAACTTGAATCAACCATCGATGAAATTTACTAATTAGATTGCAACTATCAATAGTTCGTCGTTCCTCAATGGCTAGGTAACTAAATCTAACGGTCACTTTTAAGACATCCGTGTATCGTGATCCGGCTTTCACCGGCCTGGGTGCGGGCACGTGCTTTTCCAGTTTTTGTTCATATTTTGCTAAACTGAATGTTAACCAAACTTTAATACCCTCGGATACTACTTGTTTAGTAGAATTTGTTTCTTTTTCTAGGATATGAATTCGTAGTTTGAATTCATTCGTAATATGTTTCACCTGAATGAGTTTCATGAGAACCTAGTGTTTAATAAATAAAGTTCTCGGCTAAGCAATTTTTTGTGACTGTTGTAGAGATTGCTCGAAGGAGAAGTATTTATTGTACTTTGCCCTGCTTTAATTGTGCAATGCAGTTGTGCGTATTGCGCAGCGTGAATTCTGCAACCGGGTTGCCGGCAACGCAGAAGGATCCGTCCTTCAAAATTGTACTGAATTGTCATTTTTCATGTACTAACTCGTATTGTGTAAAATGTGTGTATAATTGATGTGGACTGAATGCTCATTGATTATTTGTTTTTCATTTATCAGTTGAAATGAGCGTAGAGGTTTTCCTTTGTACCCATGATATTCACTTTTAAACGCTTCTACTTGTACGGTCAGGGTCATAAGATGCTATCATGCCTTGGTAATCATATCCCGGTTTTATAACAATAATTGGAGAAGTGCGATAGAACCACAAGTAATACTTAAATATCGGGGGGTCGACAGCTAAATAAATATTTTTTAGCAGTAATCATTCCGCAGATGTGAAAACGCTTACTTGCAATTGAGACCATCATCATGCGAAATAAATATATATACTGAGTGTTGCACTTTTCGCTCTCAAAGGCATTTACTCTCCGCTTATGTTACTTCTCACTGGTATATACACTTTATATTTATTTTCTTAATTCTTTGTTTGCAAACTTTGATATGAATTCAATGCTTCAAATTTTCCCGTCTCCAATTTCTCAATCCCAAACCTGATAATAGAAGCAAAAACCAATTTTTGTCTCTGGCGGACTGTAGACTATTGCACCTAGCACGAACCAGATTGAGAGAACAGGAGGAGTTCCAGGCCCTAGTTAAAAAGAAGAAAACCTTTACTACCTTATGCAAGCAGGCATCACACGTGTACGTGGTGTGCCTATTGCTTCAGCACTAAATGTACTTTACTCTGGCTCCTTGATATCGTAGTAGGCGTTTCAACAAAAATAAAATTACCCTGGAGTAAAGCCCCTCGTCCACGATGGTTTGTATGTTGATGCGGCTGATGGAGGGGTAGGTCAGCACCTGCCATCTGGCTGCGACGAGGCGGCCCAGGAGGAGTGTCTTGCTGACGTCGTCAAGACGCCGAAGTCGGTCCGTGCTGTGGTAAATGGCCTTGTGTCGTTTACCGTTCTGTTATAATAATTTATCAAGATACGTTCTGTTATACTTGAATGAGTAACATATAGTTCCATTTTCGCAGAATAATTAGAATAAAATTTGACTGGTACGGTTATGTTGAAATCCATGATTTGCCTCTTCTCAACACATCGTTTATCCCTTGCGAGCATTCCTCAACTAACTTCGTTCTAGGCAAAGCCATTTGTTTGTTAAGCATATGATATTGAGGCAAGTTAAGTTATATAACTCAATGTTGAAGTTTATTTAGCACAGAAGAAAAGAGAAAATTAGGCCTTGCTAAATAATCACCCGAAGGCAGCGACGACGCAGATAGGCATGAGCTCGATGGCGGAGGGCGTGAGGAGCTGGAAGACCTCCTCCTCACTCTGGGTCAGCATCTCCGTTGCGGTGTAGTTCACGTAGAGGTCTTTGAGCGCCGCGCGCACTTTAAAAACGTCAATGAAAATCGTCTGCATGCTTCTCGAATCGTAAGAAATGGTTATATGCTCTAAGTTGGGTATAAAATCACTCAAGTTGATTCTTCGATCTGTTGGGCTTCATGCTTTCTAGTAGTCTGTGGTCTTCTCGTGCTAGAGTACCTTGAAGGATACCCAGTACTTGGAAGGATTTGTGGTCACAGATAAACTGATATGTTGGGTCACTGAGAAGTTCGACGTGAAAATAAAATTATTTATGAGCTGTGATTTTTTTGCAAAAAAAAATTTAACACCCGATGGATTAGAAACATTTGTCAAAGAAAGTTTGGCTTTAGGCTAATGGTTGGCAGTGACTCGGGCCTCGAGTCACAAAAGGGACTGTGGTTTAGAATTTGGCCCGGCACGGAGACTGCAAGTATCAAGCTTAAATTCATTCATGTATTACCACTATAGGTAATTGCAGTCGCATGTGCATTGTGCGACCCCTAAAAACGCAGAAAAAAACACTTACGATCAAGCATGTAGTTCAAAATGACATCTGCATTATCGTAGTGGGGATTGTGATGTAATCATTATATGCTCGACACAGGCACATTGCACGCCTGGTGCCAAAATTGTATCTCTACTGTTTCAGGAATTATGTTGCTAACATACGTATTTTGGGAATAATAATGCATTTGCGAAAATCACGATATCACGAGAGAGAAAATCACGTGTGTGCGGCCTTGGAGTCGAAAATTATTAGTTCCCAAATTTCTTTTGAATACGTTATTCTAGAAAAAGGCAATCTAGGCAAAACTCTATTTACTGAGCACAAATGAACCAAGGTACCATTTGAACAGGCAAGCTGGAGGTTGAGCGTGAAAATTGTTAGTTGTTCAGTGACGAGAAAAAACAAAATCCATGAAGAACACTGCAGTAGGCTTAGGTTTAGCTAGGTTAACTAAACGAAGAGTTGTTCATATGGTGATTTGATCATAACTAGGTTTGCATAAAACGGAGCAACGTCTCTCTTTTGTTAAATTAAGTTGAAATGAGTACAACGGTTTAGTCAATTGGCAGCTATTACGTTTTAAGTTGGATCTACAAGTGTAGGATGTCCGTTGCTAGGATCAGCCTATGTGAATATAATTCACTCTACGTTTTAATCACGCAAGTTGATGTACTGTGGGTGATGTCAATGGTTGTTCGGTTCACGGCATTGTTTTGCCAAATGCAGTTTATTAAAAACAGGTTATTTACTGAGGGCTTTCATTAATATTTGTGCATCGAAACATGGTTAAGACAATGTGCATGTTGGTCAATTCTCTAGTTGTTCAGTTTGGGCATAGATCCATATAAATAAGTAATTGGGCAATAAGGTCAATGTATTTTTGTATCAATAAAGGTATTTGAACCGCCTAAAAGGGTAGGTTTATATGAGTCTAGATTACTTTAATGTAAGGATTCTGTTCTAATTTGTCTCTGCGAAGTCATATGACAACGCCTGGCACTTTGGCTTAATCTTTATGCCGATATGGATTTAATTCTTGTTACAGTCAATTCCTTGCAGGTCTCGAGCAAGCAACTCACTGCTACTGCTACAATTTAGGTTGCGTAATCACCCGGCCTTCTCGCCGATTGGACCATCTAGAATTGTCATAACCAGGACTGTCAGGAAGCTGAAATCGAACCCATACCTCGCTGCTCTAATCCTGGTACTCTGAACTGTAACCGCTGAGTCACCATGCCCTAACGTCATTGCAGTCCTTGTTCCTTTAAGCTCTCAGATCATAGGTACTCCATCCACCTACCGCCTGGCGCGTAGGGAAGGCATCCTTCATGTACTCGAGCTGCAGGACGATATTGGACATCGGTATGTTCTTGACGTCTTGCGCCTGCAGGAACATTGCCAAGTTTGCGTCGGAAAGCATGTTTACCCCCGTCCTGAAGGCCTTGTCGGACATCATCAGACCCTGAACGGGGACGGAAACACAAAACGCTGAAGAGAGACTAGGACGCAGATGTTCATGTTCACAGTGTCATAAGAACAAATGCGCCAAATAAATAAGCACCATCAATCTCTGAGTAGTAGTATCAATAAATTCTCAGGTATTTTTTGCAGGTTAAAAAAATGATAGAATGTTTGAGCAAGTTAATATAATCCCAACATGTTAGATGACAACGCCTAGGAACGCCTAGATCAAATAACAATAATAAAGTTTTCACAAGTCATTGGTTTATACCTAGGGATGCAATATTGTTATTTTCCCCTATATATACTCTTCAATGCACTTTAAATGAAAATTTAGCTATCGCTCCGACTGTATATTCGCTTCAATTTAATACTTCTCACGATTTTGGATGAGGCAGGCATGCCAACGGCCCCAGCCTTCAGCAGATCTTTATTGAGGTCCTTATAAACGTTGGTGGGGATGGCCTCCTTGGCGTTACTGGGAGCGTCCTGCAGGCGGTCAAATCCAATCTGGAATGTTTAGATTAAATTAGTATCGTAATCTTAATTTGAGCGGAACACCGCCTGTTAAATGTCTCCTATCATTTCTTAAAATCTCCTCTTCACTTTCTTGAGTCGGTATTACCAAAGTCACTAAAGCCGCTGATAGTATTAAATTATAAATCCTTTACTATTATAGTCTGGAATATATTTAATCGCGTTGCAAAATTTATACCAAAGCATGATTCATTTGGACTTAAATTCATCTTTTAATTTCAACTTGAAAGTTTAATCCAACAACTTTTCCTATCATAAAAACTTCAATCGGAGACAAAATGTTAGAGGAATCGGAGATCGTGACCCCGTCCTGTATATAAACTATATATTGATTCAATCATATTCAAATGGTTTCTCATAATGAATAAACTGACACGCAACAATTAACACACTAATCCTTAAATTTCCATCGTTGCCAGAAGCATTTATGCCTGGTGACCCACAACCCCATTAGTAATAGTGAATCCAGCATCATAGCATCAGCATAATAATTTTTTATTCATATTATGCGTTAATCGGCGTTCGCAGAATTTGCATTCCCTAAGTACTTGTTGATTCGTCTTCGCGAATCTGTAAATCATAAATTTAGCTTTGTTCAGGGGAGAACATAAATCTTCCTTCCATAGTGTGCTGTAATAAGATCCTTCTAAGTCCTGATTAACCATTCCATCATTTGATCCGACGTTCGCACTTTCCATTTATCTGTGAGGGCGTAACTACGCTACCATTTTTTACGACTTTTAGTAGTGTTTCTTGTACCGATTTTTCAGGTAGTCTATTTTGGCGGTGCATGAGCAAGAAACTTAAATTTTTAACTGATCCATTTAGGTGATCCTCTGTGATCTAATCACATTACCTAAAGCGTTGTGTGCCGGATCACAGAGGATCACCTGATTGGATCAGTTAAAAATTTAAGTGTCTTGCTCATGCACCGCCCAAAAAGACTATCTGAAAAATCGGTACAAGAAAGCACTACTAAAAAGCACTACAAGAAAGCACTACTATCGTCGTCTTTAAAAACTCGGGTAATAACAACCTGTTAAGTGGATGACGAAATCACATAGCCTATGCGTGACTGCAAATCGGTCAGCGTCTGAGCGATTGGTTGAACGTACGAACGAAATTTACGCACGGGTAGAATTACCACCGTCATAGCTGCAGCTGCAGTTATATTCGTATAGTTTGAGGGACACAAATGCAGGTACATTTAACAATGTCTTACGTCATTCATACTTACACCAGAAACAAGGCTGGACAACAGAGCTGTGTTGTAAGAGGTATTTCCACCCAGCGCGTAGAGTTTGCTGGTTAAGGACATGCCATCAATATACTGCATTGGCATCACGCCCATGAGCTCATCAGGGACGGTGCTCAAATCTAGAGTCCTCCCACCTCCGGATGCCACTTCGAACACTCTGTCCTTGATTAGCATCATTTGGGGTTATAATTATAATAACATTACATTAACACGGCGTTATCATCTTAATATTTGTGACGGAATGCATATTTTGTGTTATGTTTTTTTTTGGGGGGTAACATTGTTTAATTATTGACTTTGCCAAAGAACATAATTCCTATACCTGGGTCAATAGTGATATTTTACTTTTTCTTATTGTAGGTAAATAATGCTCTCGGTCACATTCGGCACAGCCAGCATGTAAAAAAATTCTTCAAGTTAGAGATCTCGCCTCCCAGAAAGATTTCTCTTGATGAGTTATGAACATCTGCCAAAAATCAGGCCAATCAGGTGAAATTTAAGGGTGCCTCATGAGCACCGAAGTTAACGTAACAACAAACTTGCTTTTGTGCACTTAGCGACCGATTAGGTTAGTGGGACCAGTTTAGTGCTTTCACTTAGTGCGTGGGACCAGTTTTTCTTAGTGCGTGGCACCAGTTTTTCCTAGTGCGTGGGACCAGTTTTGCTTAGTGCGTGGGACCAGTTTTTCGTAGTGCCTGGGATATTAAATAATGCAAGTCGGTCAACACCTAAAAGATTATAGACGTGATATATCAAATGAATTGGGCCCTAAGAAGGCCACCGGAAAATAATTGGCAACTTTTACATAAAGTTGGTTTCGTTGGGTTCCATTTCAAATAAAGTTCTAGAATACTTCAGGCCTAATGATGGTAATCTCAACTGCCAACACGTCGGAGCTGATGCTGTTGAGTCAATATTGAGTCATTCAATGGCAAGTGTACCTAGGCTCTCCACCCCACCTCGCTATCATCATCACCAGTTATATAAAATTTTACACACGAGTTTGTTTATGCGTAAAATTCAACGTCGAAATTTCAACTCAAATATAGAAAACTAGTGAAATTAAGGACCCTCAAAGGGTGGGTAGTGAAAATGTCCAAGATCTGCCATCATGAACTCTATAACTGCGATCATGAACTCTACAACTGCGGTCATGAACTCTATAACTGCGATAATGAACTTTATAACTGCGATCATTAACTTTATAACTGCGATCATGAACTTTATAACTGCGATCATGAACTTTATAACTGAACTTGATAACGAACGCTGCATTACGCACGTATATCGTATGTACACAAATAAAATAAAATGGGTCAATGCATAGTTTGTCTTGTGGATAGTTTTGTTATAAAGTTGAAGACTTCCTAATTCTCACTATTATTTACCTCATTTCGAGATCTTTAGTCACTTCTACTTTGCCACGAGATTAAATCTGAAATACAACTTTTTCGTACTAAAATATTGAGTTAACTCATCGATTTTCTATCCTCTGATACAAATTAGAAATTGGTCAGGTTGCTTTGGCCAGAGTGGCGGTAAGCGGCACGATGATTTACGGTTCTAATGTCAAAACAGTGAACTAGTTAGCAAAGGGGCAATGACAACACATGGAGATAAATTCTATAGTTACTATATTATAGGAGAAACCTAGGCTAATACAAATCGGCAAGTCGGCGAAGCTAAGACACGATTTACACGGATTATAGTCCGATGGATGGAGTTCAGATTGAGACGCGGTGGAGATCAGACGTGTTGTGTAGTCGCTCCAGGAGCCTGACCGACTTGTTTCCTGCTTGAATTGTTCCGGAACTTTATTACCGACGTGCAGTTGTGCTGGACTTCCGGAACTTTATTACCGTCGGGCGATTGTGCTGTACTTCCGGTACCGTCGGGCGGTTGTGCTGTACTTCCNACCATCTACGCTTTGACTACCTGCCTGAACTCTACCTTCAAAATAAAATAATTGTTTACTATCTTTAATCAGGCAATCTAAATCAGCATGAATGGGAACTGCCACTCCCGCCTTGGAAATCTCAGATGTGTATAAGAGACAGGTCATAAAAGTTACTAGCTGTAAACGTCTTTGCATGAAATTGAGCCTCTGGTAGACTGCTCTGATCTTAAAACTGAGCGAGTAGTGCAATATAGACTGCATATATATATAACTTACAGAGATTGAAATGCCCCCTCCCTTCCCCCCATAAGGGGGGGAAGGGAGGGGGCATTTTTTTAAAGCATTTTTCATATTCGGCCGTGTCTGTCCCGAACGTATCAGGTACCAATTACGCACGCCCCACGATCGCCTCAAGCTCGATGAGTAGTTACACAAGATCGTCCGTGTGCCAGCAGCTGACAGGTCTTCGAATTTCGATAGGGTAGCGTGAGCACCCTATCAAAATTTTTAGTTGGTGGCCACCCTGAATTAGGAACCGCCTAGGACTCGGACCGAACGTAAAATGTAGCTTCTCTATGTCCGCTTTTTGGTCTACATTCCGGTCCCCGAATCAGACAGCTACCAGAGCCTGTTGAGGGGATTCTGCCAAAGTTCTTGCCCTACTCTCAGAAGACTATATAAAGTCAGCAAGGAGGTTCTGACTAGTCGCCGATTGCGATCAGTTGGCCAACTGACCCAGAATAACTCTAACGCGAAAATAGCAACTTTGGGGCAGAGGCTGAAGCATGCCCCGAATTTTGTTAGGGCAGGAACAGTCAAGTTCGACTATTGCGCGTCCTCCATGCCCCGAATTTTGTTAGGGCAGGAACAGTCAAGTTCTAAGTCTTATGAAGAAAGATTGAAGATTATGAAGCTTCCCAGTCTCCGTTATCGTCGCCTGCGTGGTGACCTCATTGAAGTATACAAGTATACTCATGGTTTGTACAGGGTCCCAGAAGATTACTAGAATTTGAAACAAGAACCAACACCAGGGGCCACAGCTATAAACTAAAAAAACTGCGGTTCAACTTATCCACGCGATAACATTTCTTCTCGCTTCGAGTCACTGACATGTGGAACAGCCTCCCTGAAGATATTGTTGACGCTCCGAGTATGAACGCGTTCAAGAACAGACTAGACAAGGCCATGCAGGAGCATATGTTCAGTCTTAAAATGCCTCGTACCCTACGGAACATCTGATATCTAGAAGCGATTTTAAATCTACCGTCCGTAAGGCAAGTCTAGTCAAGAAAAGTACAAGAATCGGCGACAGGCCTATCCAGGCCTATTTATTTAATGCCGAAGATACTATACTATACTACTATACTATACTGTCACACAAAAATATGAAGCTCAGACAGAATTTACACAGAAATAGTATTTGCTTCAAAAAGTATCCTATCCCAACCTATCTACCCAGTTATTTCATCTCTACGATCCCCGTCTCTACGGAAACTAGGACAGTTTCTAACAGTTTCCCGGAGTACATCACCAAAGTTTGTGGAGCCGATGGAGTCCACGGCGCAGTTGACGGCGCAGCTTTTCCAAGGTGAAAGTGACTGCGAAGGTTAACAATCGAAATTCTTCGGTCCGCGTTCCCTGGTGTGCGTGTGATTTGGGTGATGCGTTCTTGGTTATTTTGGGTCGTTGCTCCTCGGATTTCACTATGTCGAATCACTATTTCTTCGTCCTTGTTTTCCTTCTTGGAGATAACAGCGTGGCCAGCGGATGTTGTCTGAATTGACATCGTGACTCGAACACCACAATTGTTTTCCAACATTCACTGATCCGTGAATGTGCTACGAACGACGTGCGGCCTCCGCGCTCGATCCTCCGCGTCGAGATCCTCCGCGCTCGACTGACTCCGCACTCGACTGGCTCTGCGCTCGAACTAACTCTCATGGTGGTGCGGTGCCACTAGGAAAATTGGAGAAGAAACAAGAGGTGGCACAGAGTTGCCAGAAAGATGAAGGAGAAAAGGAAGTAACAGTAGAAGGCGAAATAGGCGCAATGCGCATAACTAGGTTGAGTTTTGGTGCTTTGGGTTTTTCTTGGGGTTGGGGGCGGGGGTTACCCACCCGTCGGGGCTTTGGATGGTAATCGTGGACGATCGGTGCTCCTCTTATGAATTGTTGAATATTTGTTATTATAATTTTTTTATTATTTATTTATTTATTTATTTATTTTAGTATTTTTTTATTTATTTTTCTCTAGTTGTTCAGTTTGGGCATAGATCCATATAAATAAGTAATTGGGCAATAAGGTCAATGTATTTTTGTATCAATAAAGGTATTTGAACCGCCGAAAAGGGTAGGTTTATGTGAGTCTAGATTACTTTAATGTAAGGATTCTGTTCTAATTTGTCTCTGTGAAGTCATATGACAACGCCTAGCACTTTGGCTTAATCTTTATGCCGATATGGATTTAATTCTTGTTACAGTCAATTCCTTGCAAGACTAACTGCAAGCTAAGTCAATGAAGTGCCCTTTGTTTTAGGTCACTGTTGGATGAGGACCTTGGGGATTTAGTCTACGATACGATTTTTTCGCTTAGGATTGCAGGTATCATTCGGCTAGGTCGGCATACATACGATTAATTCAATGCCGGAGTATATCTAATTGTCCATGCAGGCTTTCAGCGTCGGGAGCTGGGATACCAGGCACTCGGGCTCACTTCTCGTTTAGGGCACTGTGTGTGGTTAGGTTACGCACTGCGTTGTAAGATGCGAGGAAGGCCAGGTGACGGAAGTTTGAGATTAGTTGTCATGTCACTGTGGAATTATGACTGTTCGTCGAGGCTTACTAAGAGTTATGAATCTTTTTACTTTCGCCTATCTGGTGCTAAATCTGGATTATTCCACAGTGTGGATAATACGTGATAAGAATTAACGTTTCATATTGTGTCAACATTTGATTCGGGTCGGTCAATAAAGTAGAGTTCCGTACTGCGGTGTCAGCGGCAATTAGGCCGTAAGACATGTTATCGATTCTGAGCCTGGCAGGATATTTCAACTTGTTGCAGGTCTCGAGCAAGCAACTCGCTGCTACTGCTTCAATTTACGTTGCGTAATCACCCGGCCTTCTCGCCGATTGGACCATCTAGAATTGTCATAACCAGGACTGTCAGGAAGCTGAGATCGAACCCATACCTCGCTGCTCTAATCCTGGTACTCTGAACTGTAACCGCTGAGTCACCATGCCCTAACGTCATTGCAGTCCTTGTTCCTTTAAACTCTCAGATCATAGGTACTCCATCCACCTACCGCCTGGCGCGTAGGGAAGGCATCCTTCATGCACTCGAGCTGCAGAACGATATTGGACATCGGTATGTTCTTGACGTCTTGCGCCTGCAGGAACATTGCCAAGTTTGCGTCGGAAAGCATGTTTACCCCCGTCCTGAAGGCCTTGTCGGACATCATCAGACCCTGAACGGAGACGGAAACACAAAACCCTGAAGAGAGACTAGGACGCAGATGTTCATGTTCACTGTGTCATAAGAACAAATGCGCCAAACAAATAAGCACCATCAATCTCTGAGTAGTAGTATCAATAAATTCTCAGGTATTTGTTGCAGGTTAAAAAAATGATAGAATGTTTGAGCTAGTTAATATAATCCCACATGTTAGATGACAACGCCTAGCAACGCCTAGATCAAATAACAATAATAAAGTTTTCACAAGTCATTGGCTTATACCTAGGGATGCAATATTGTTATTTTCCCCTATATATACTCTTCAATGCACTTTAAATGAAAATTTAGCTATCGCTTCGTCTGTATATTCGCTTCAATTTAATACTTCTCACGATTTTGGATGAGGCAGGCATGCCAACGGCCCCAGCCTTCAGCAAATCCTTATTGAGTTCCTTATAAACGTTGGTGGGGATGGCCTCTTTGGCGTTACTGGGAGCGTCCTGCAGGCGGTCAAATAAAATCTGGAATGTTTAGATTAATATTAATATCGTAATCTTAATTTGAGCGGAACACCGCCTGTTAAATGTCTCCTATCATTTCTTAAAATCTCCTCTTCGCTTTCTTGAGTCGGTATTACCAATAAATGATGGAATGGTCAATCAGGACTTAGAAGGATCTTATTACAGCACACTATGGAAGGAAGATTTATGTTCTCCCCTGACCAAAGCTAAATTTATGATTTACAGATTCGCGAAGACGAATCAACAAGTACTTGTCACAAAAAATACTAATCGTCGTACTTAAAAACTCGGGTAATAACAACCTGTTAAGTGGATGACGAAATCACATAGCCTATGCGTGACTGCAAATCGGTCAGCGTCTGAGCGATTGGTTGAACGTACGAACGAAATTTACGCACGGGTAGAATTACCACCGTCATAGCTGCAGCTGCAGTTATATTCGTATAGTTTGAGGGACACAAATGCAGGTACATTTAACAATGTCTTACGTCATTCATACTTACACCAGAAACAAGGCTGGACAACAGAGCTGTGTTGTAAGAGGTATTTCCACCCAGCGCGTAGAGTTTGCTGGTTAAGGACATGCCATCAATATACTGCATTGGCATCACGCCCATGAGCTCATCAGGGACGGTGCTCAAATCTAGCGTCCTCCCACCTCCGGATGCCACTTCGAACACTCTGTCCTTGATTAGCATCATCTGAGGGTTTTAATTACAATAACATTACATTAACACGGCGTTATCATCTTGATATTTGTGACGGAATGCATATTTTGTGTTATGTTTTTTTTTTGGTGAAACATTCTTCAATTATTGACTTTGCCAAAGAACATAATTCCTATACCTGGGTCAATAGTGATATTTTACTTTTTCTTATTGTAGGTAAATAATGCTCTCGGTCACATTCGGCACAGCCAGCATGTAAAAAAATTCTTCAAGTTAGAGATCTCGCCTCCCAGAAAGATTTCTTTTGACGAGTTATGAACATCTGCCAGAAGTCAGGCCAATCAGGTGAAATTTAAGGGTGCCTCATGAGCATCAAAGTTCACGTAATAACAAACTCGCTTTTGTGCACGTAGCGACCGATTTCATATTTGTGATTTGTGTATTTAGCTTGAAAAGCCGTCGGTGATAATCTGACGGAGTTATGAGCTCTAAAGTATTCATGATACTACGGCCCCATGACCTACCTTTGCTCCGGCGGTGGCGCCTGCCGTGTTCTGGATGACCGCCAGAAGCCTCCTGAGGTCTCCGGCGGAGACGCTGTAGCGACTAAGAGTGAGGTTGAGCATCAGGCCCGACGCCAGGGCCAGGCGGTTCATCCCTGTGGGGTGTATTGGGAGGACCACGGTATACATTTAATATGGTGTCAGAAGTTGGTCTTCTATCAGAATTTAGTCGCAAAGTGATCTATTTTCAGTGACTCTAAAATGTTGGGTGAATCTTATTTTCATAGTGCACGTAAAAAATTTAACCATGCTAGATATGTATGCTATTTTTTAAAACTGAAGATGATGTCATGGAGTTGTAATTAACAACTCAGTTTCGGAATTATCTATGAATAACTCAGTATCTGAATTAACTGATTATGCATTTGAATTACAATATGGCATGGCTGTTTTGATGCATTTACATGGCAGTCGATTTTAAAGGAAATTGGTTTGGATTATACCCCATTGATAGACATATATTTCTCAGAAAACTGTGCTAAATATCAAATATTACCAGTTGGTTGTCAATTCAGCACACGTGTCATTTAACTCCTTATTTTAATCAGGAGGCAACTGGTGTAGTGCCTGCTGTTTTTTCTAGCACTAGTCATGCCTGCTCTGCGAATTCCTTGTGGCAAATGATCAGTTTCGCTGCCACCTCACCTTTTTATCGGTACGAATGCAAGTGCTAACGCGTGATCCTGACATCGGAAGAAAGATATATGCAGAAAGCTCCAACACACCAAGGATGATATTCGCGGACTAATAAATTCGATAACACTCCCCTCTAATGTGGCGTAAGTACTAACTTGTAATGCCTCTCTAGTAATTTTAAAGCGTTTCAGAAACCCGAAATACTACATTAACTCACCTAGGAGAAGGATTTGGTCTCTGGTGAATGGCAGGGTGAAGGGGATCAAATCCTGCATTCCTCTTTCCAGCACCTGTGAGCGGCAATGTGCATGTCATCGTTATTATCATATATATCAAGTTTAATACCCCGTGTTTGAGTCCAAATTAAGCAGATTCTGCAAATTGGAGAACAATTTTATAAAAACCCACGGCTATTATATAATAATGCAAAGTAAGGGTTTGGGTAGAAAAATGTCCTGCCTACGCCGTCCGTGATTCGTGCAGTCATTGCCGAAACACTGCTGTAATGGCCACGCCTAGGCCACTACAATGCGGCCAACTGCCGACATATGCAGTCGGCCTTGGTTATTTCACTGCCAAACTGAAGGCAGTCCCCAGCTCGCCAAGCAACTGCGCCAAACATTGAACAGCGCCATCACGATGCATAGAAGCGTTCAGTGTAGTGGCACCGTGAGACAGCTGGCAGATTGGCACGCACTTAGAGCAAGCATAGGCGTTGCGAATTATAGCCGTTAAAGAGCGTACCCAACGTAGTTTCGATTCGTTCGTTCAAAACTCCTCTAAAGTAAAAACATATGGACATAGCTTTAGTTAAATGACGCACCAACATTTTGGTAGCCACACTATTTAGTAGTTACAATAGGAATAAATAAAGACTCGCCTTCGCATCGATAGAGCCTTCTTGGAGAGCGCTGGTCATGAAGGAGTCTACCTCTCCACGAATGCTTTTTCCGTCAGCGTCTAGCACCTCATTGGGCAGGTCGGTGGCGTACACGAACTGCATGAGGCCTGCGCTTCGCAACTGGCTGATCACCTCTTTGATCTGTTGGAAACGCTGAATTATTCGTTGTCAATCCTTACTAACTCATTATTGATAAGTATTCTGTAAGATACGTTCACATTTTAATGTCATATAATTTTTTAAAGCGCTTCCTATCGGTTACCCCTATGAAAATTTGTGTTTAATTTAATCCATAGGTTCTGCTAAACCTATGTTATTTGTTACCTTTGAAAATCATTATCAGTTATCATAATTTGTTCAATTTCTGTCCTCAATCTATCACTGAACAAATGTTTCAGCTAATTTCGGTATGAAATTAGCAATGCATCATGTCTATTGAATCTAGTGGACAACATGTCTATCTTTCTCTTAGGGAAAAAGAAGAATATCGCTTACATTTTTACTGATATATCTACCTAGCGATGAATGTCAAATTTAGTTTTGATTTTCAGTACTATTCAATGGTTTTAATAGTAATGGCTAAATAATAAATCACTATTAAATTAAAATGTATTGTAAACACCGCGCTGACAAACCAACCTAATATATAAGTAAAACATTCTCTTATGGCTGTGTAACATGCTATCTTTATCACCAACGTAAAGAACGTACATCTTCAAATTAGAAGTTTTATAAAAAATAATTTTACGTATAATTTTATGTAATTAAATAAAATAATTCACATGGTCTTTTGTTTCATATTATACAACAAAAGGTAAAATAATTATAAGTTATAATGATCATTAGCACTTCCATTTTAATTATTATTATAATTATAATTGCAGTTATAATTATAATTATAATGTGCGTTATAATTATAATATATATAATTATAATTATAACGCACATAACGCACCCTGGTGATCTCCTGCTGAGAGACGAGCAGCTGCGGGTTGTAGTCGTCACGCCGCACGTTCTCGGCCTCGAAGATCTTCTCGACGAGGTAGCGACCCAGGGCCTTCACCATCTGCGCCCTGCCCCTCAGAGTCTGCGTTATACGATTTACTTTTAATGGATTTATAGCAGACCATCGTGGAACTTAACGATATAGCAGACCTCCGCATGACCCATAGCGGAGCTTGACGATAGGTAATGAGATCGTTGAATTTTTGGTGTTGTGAAGTCCATCTTGAGCGTTGGAGCGAAGTGAAGTTTAATATTTCGTGATCATGTTGAGTGCCGTTGAAGCTTCTCCGTTGATTATCCCGTGATAAAAATGAGGATTCAGTCTAGCCAAGCTGAGCCAACCGAATGTTGTTTCGGATTCTATGATCACTCAACCCGTGTTCAATAAATTGCGGTCTCAGCCAATCATGGTGTTCATTGTTGAACCTAGTAGTGCGATTTATTCATAGATGTAATATTCGCCCACTCTAAGAGTTTGGGGATTTCCTTTTTATGTGATTTGTTCCTGTGTAGTGTATCTTAGAGTTTGGGGATTTTTTGGTGGTTGACGACTTTAGAGAGCTCATTTGGTTGAGATAATGGAAATTTTATTGTGGCGATGCCTTCTACCTGACGGTGTTGTATACCAATTGTAAAGTTCTGCTAAACATGGCTGTGTATAAATTCTGTCCAACCCGTTCTAGTTTCGTTTGCCTTAGGCCGGGTATGTCAATCAGTGGAGAATAAGATGTATAATCTTTAGATATCTTAAAAAAGTGTATAAATCACAATTCATAAAGATTATTATAAAAATATTCTCGAATTTTTCCTTCATCATAACTCTTTTTATACAAAGTTCTCATATATTTGTAACTGTCCACCGTTTGTTTATAAATAACTGGATTACCATGGAAAAATCCATTTCATTTATGATTGGAGCAAAAGTGTACCATCTTAGTGATGAAACCCATAGGAACCCGCCATGCCTATCGGAGGTCTCGCAACTTTCAACACGCACCTTGAATACTTTTAGTCCAAAATGTTTCTTTTTCTGTTATTAAGAAAATCCCAATTTACAAACAAAATAAAAAACTACTCTCGTTCTAACAAATATATTCATTGGTCCGCTGTGAAGAAACTAAACGAGAAAAAAATTTACCACAGATATCTGATTGTCATGCAAAATATATATCATTTCACGTCACCAGTCATAGACTCACAGCTAAGATCTCGGCCTTGCGGGACAAAAGAACGTCGGGACGGAGGCGCCTGAAGATGGAGGCGGGCAGGATGCTGAGGTCGGTCATCCTGGCGAATGTGTCTCGGTCCCAGTTGCTGGGGTCGCCGTAGGTCTTCTCGATGAGCCACTCCCGTAGTGACAACATGTACTGGGCGCGCGGGGTCATCACTTCGCCTCTTGACTCCTGCTGACTCGGACACGATTCCGATTTGGTGTTCAGGTTGTTCATGCACAGATTCACTTCTTCGAATCTGTCGGATAAGGAAATGATACAAACAGTAATTTTTCTAAGAAAGTTCGCCGTTTTAGAACCATGTTTGCCCAAAACACTCTCGATTGTTTCGAAAGCACTTGAGTTCCAGTTGGTAGAATATGAAAGCATGTTTAGTGGAAATTATCGACGGTTCAAAAATGCTGAACATGAAATAATTGCTTTTCAGTTTAATTTTTAAACAGCATAGTTTTTTTCGAAAAAGTTAACATTGATTTTCATTGGAACTTTTTAGCTACATTATTTTTTTCAAAGTCTCACTAACATCCTTGCAACGGCCCTGTCGTCGCGCACGTTGGTGAGCATCGTAATGGGTATGACGAAAAGGATGGGCTTCAAACTGGTGATGTTCTCTTCCCGCCAGTCCCAGGAGTCCCCAAGTTGCTCAAGCAGAGTTCCCGTTTCCACTCGCGAAGTCGTTCCCTGAAGAATACAATTATTTTACAAGCAACTTATAGAAGAGTCGAAATTATTTACAACCTTTACTATCGGGATGAAGACATAAAGCTCTGAAGCCATGAGATCTGTGTCAGCCTTGTACCCAAAAACATCGTCTAGAAAATCGGATAAAGCTTAACAAGATCATAATTAAAACTAATAAACTATTTCGAAATTAGGGTCGCAGATATACCGACATTCATAATTCTTGAACAGAAAAAAACATGTGGTTAGGCTTTTATGGGTCATAAAAGGGGGTGGAAAATGTAAAATGGGTTCATTTCTATCATTTAGAACATTGCTGGAGGCGACGAGAAAAATTTCGATTGCGAACAGTAAATAATTTTTCTACCTAACAGGTGGAGTGGAATCTCATTCACCGAGAGAAAATTACCTGAAAATAAGAGTTTGCATAGTATAAAAATTTTATCTGATTCAATTTTATGTTAGTTTTTATGCGAGTAACACTCCGTTAATTTAATTGTGCGCCATGCGCAATTAAACACAATTTCTATACAACTAGTGCCACGTTATAATTCAAATAGTGCCACGTCCCGGTTTTATGCAACAATTTGAAAATTGTCTTGTACTATTTTGGAAGTTTAAAATTGGCAATTATTATATAATTACAAATATGGCAATTATTATATAATTTAAAGGAAAAAGGTTGCTTGGATAACGCTCTTATAGCTCGCATTCGCTTCAAGACTTTTTGGCAATTTAAAAATAGGTTGAACCGTTATGGCTCAACCGCTGCATTGCATATCGATTATTGATTCTATTAAAAGTATAGCGCAAAGTACTCATCCCAGGGGGAAGTTCTCAGAATTTTTCATTCAATTCGGTAGAGTTTAATTTTGTCTGCTTCCACGATAAGCTTAAATAATTTATGTGCTAGATTTAATTTTTTCCTGTACAAGCCTAGTCCCACCCTAACCATGCATCAATAGATATGTTATATAATAACTAGCACTCATATTTCATATTTGATTTGATGACTCCTAATCAAATTTGATGAATTTTTCACAAAAGCTCGGTTTTTTTTAATTGTTTCAAACATTCATCTTTTGCATCTTTTTGATTGATTTTGACAATGGACAAAGGAGATGATCCCCAACGTAATTGTATACCTGAACGAAATAATGAGTTTAAAAATATTACAAAATTATGTACAGACAACTCTAAACTCTGGACAAATTTCCTATTAGCAGAAATTCCTACATGTGATTCTCAGACATTTCATTTCCAGCAAAACATCAACAGACGCTTGAAACTAGCATTGGAAATAAGCTGATCAATACAATTGAGCTTGAATTCCTTTTTTTAAATTGCGATATGAAATTCACATGAAGGAAATTAAATTAAATTAAAATTCAATGAACTAAAATGCAAGTAAAATTAAAATTTTAATTAAATAAAATGTAAATGGAGGAAATATAGTTGTCAAATTTCCTTCAGGTTGCTGCGGCACATCTGCTAAACACGTGTAGTAGACTTAAAATCTATGTTACCTGCATATTTCGCCCATGGGACTGTTCTGCGGTAGAATATTTTCAGTTAATTGCATCCATACAATTTATTTTTCGCATTCTATACTAGAAGCTCGGTAACAAGGTACAAGAATTTAACGAGAAGAAAGCTTAAACGTAACAAAAACCGCTACATACGACAAAAAATATATTATAGCTTCATGATGCCAAGCAGGTTCATTTGCAGTGATTAGACGAAACATTCCCTTATTGTTTTATAATATGAAAAAATGCACTGAATAACAAATATTAGTAGGATATAAAATTGAATAGGTTATTTTATTTTTTAAATGCAGTTTATCATATGACGTCCTATGACTATAACTATTAGGATTTAGAGCAACAATTACAATTATTGTAAGCATTATTGTCTTAAGACGAAAAAATATTTTGGCAAGTCCCTTGAGAGTGAACGAGCAGGCTGAATCTATTTGAACTCGACTGTCGTTAATTCGAGAGAAAATTGCACTTTTTCTAAATCATGAAAATGCGGTCTGTAATGGATTAAACGCACAAAATACGAAGGCAAATTGTAAAAGTTACTAAATTAATGGGACAAAAAGCGACTATATATTGGTTTAATGTCCAAATAAGCAGACTGAAGATTCACCTGTTCGTGAAATTCAAACAATACAAACCAAATTCAATGCAAAAAACGGGAATAATAGTAATAATTTGATTAATAGTAAGTAGTACATCTTCAAGCATGCTAGGTGATTTAGATGATTGCAAATAACATTATTGTTGGGAATAGAAATTTTATGACTACGATACCTTCAAAAATCAATACCTCCAAGAAAATATTGTCCGTGTTCATCACGAAAAGACAAATGTCGTTACGACACGGACGTAAAAAAATATGTCAAAAACTCGTCTGAAAACACGATCCTTGTACATATTAATATAAAACGAAAAGCAAAACCACCGACGGAAATTCAACCGCTGAAAAACAGTGCGGGAACATCCGTGAAAATTTTGGGTGGAGTTCAGCGAGAAAAAATAAATCACCTCGTCTAAACGCTGGTCTACTGCTGGAAAATTTTTTTAATTAATCCCTAATAGTTTAGTTGGGAAAATTCGGGTAAGGAGTTGCATTGCAGACACCTCTGAAAGTCGGGCTCCTCACTACCATAAAGTTAATAACAAAAAGGTTTAACTTCTAACCAGTTATTAGAAGCAGCAGATTGAATAGGTAAAAATATCATAAGTGAGTGTTCTTTAAAGCGGCTACAAAATATTTTATTTGACTTGTTATCAGTGTGAACGTAAGTTACTTATTCGCCATTCAATTAGTTTCAATTTAGTTTCAATTAAGAATCACGCTATTCATTTTAATAAAGCCGGCTCTATATTACCTGAACAACTTACTCTGTCTATATATTAGAATGGATTTAAGTATTTTAAGCATTCAGATTCAGCAATTAATTTATGAAGAATGGAAGCTTGCAATGAGGGTCGAGTTATTAGATAAAATATAATCAGCTGTATTATTAAGATGTTAGTTAGAGGAGCCTTCTTTCTAATTGACACATGCAAAGCAAAATTTCAGGTAAACTTGACTCAGTAGTTGATTATGAACGACTATGCGTAACCCCTGAGTCAAACGTACAATTTCGTGCTTCACTGTGACTCGAATGCTGAGTCAGAGCTATACGAGTGCTTCAAGTGCTCCAAACCAGATTCTTATTCCGCATTTCAAAAAAATTTTCCAATGTCTCCAAAAATTCGAGACATAGAACAAAATGTCGATAGATTGGACGCAAGCACCAAGAACTGACGTTCGGACTCACAAGTGACACAACTTTTTCTCAGAAAGGATGTCTGCTTCACGTGGCGTGAACAGCATCCTCCCTACATCTTACCGTCTGCTGATGGCCTTCAGCCTGAAATTAGGCCTATGGAACCAATGGAAATATTTCATTAAAAATTTGTCCATATGTATTCAGAGCACCAAATAATTAAATTCATATAATACTGTAGACACCAGTTCATTGGGATTGTTTCCTTAGATAGAACATTTGGCTTTGAAGTAATCATATAGATTATTAGCATGCGCTTCAACACTCCACAATCTGTATAATTATTGTCAAGAAGTATTAAATCAGCTATATTATATGTTGTTATAAGATAAAATGAGAGCACTCTAATGTTTTATTGCACTTCCACGCTGCATCAATTATTACAATTCAAAATACGCATGTAGTACATACGTACATGTAATGATGTTTTTTATATATCTTTAACTTTGTGTTTGATTCATCCATCATAAGTGTAGTTCAACAATAAAATTATGGAATTTGAAAGCGGAAGCGATTTAATGACATTACTTATTGCTCAGAATTTATAAAAATTATGAGATTCCGCAATATTTTTTGCAGACACTCGCTACCAGACTCTGAGCCAATTAAGTCTAATTAATTAATCTTGTTCATTCAGCTTACCTAATTTTGTACGAAAATGGATCACTAATCAGGTGAGAAATGTCTGATTATATCTAAAATAATATGATGAATACTTAAATTGCAAGTAAAACTCGTACTAAATGTACCAGGAACATGACCGTAAACGATCCTCTAAATACTCCGTAACCAGTGCCTGCAGCTGTTATCTGGAATAGAGTATTTCGGTAAGACTTATCTGATTTCGGTTCATGGGGTATGTTAAAAAAACGTCGTGTTAACGTGTCCATGTTTAACATACATGGAGTATGATGAAAAATGTTGAAAACTAAGACTAATTTAATTTAACCTAAATTTTTATGTTGAATTATCCCCGTTAATGTCCGCTAGCAGGAAGACTTACCAGCCAATTTCAAAGCTGATTCCAAGATACCCAAAAAAGTAGCAACATTTTATCTCTAATGTATGTAAATTGATGAAAAAAATTGAACTCAGGACTCACTGCAGTGAGTGACAGAGAGCGAATTTTCTCGTCGACGAAAACGTGAAGTCACGGACGGACAGTCAGACGGACATGACGAGCAAATAGCGCCTTTTTTACTTAAATGAGAAAATGCGCTAAAAATAAAAACTAATTTAATTTTACCCAAATGTCTATGTTGAATTATCCCCGCTAGTTTCCGCTAGCAGGAAGACTTACCAGCCGATTTCAAAGTTTATTGCAAGATATAAAAAGTAGCAACATTTTATCTCTAACGTAAATTTATGAAATAATGGCAAGTAAATTACTCACGGCAGAGCGCATTTTCTCGTCGACGAAAACTTGAGGTCACGGACAGACGGACAGACGGACGGACGGACAGACAAATAGAAAAACGGACATGGCGAGCACAATAGTGCATTTTTTCCATAAATGAGAAATTGCGCTAAAAAGTAGCAACATTTTATCTTTAACATAAATTGATGAAGTAATGGCAAGTAAATTACTCACGGCAGTGTCTCTAAGCAAGCTTTTGAGCCGATACACGGCCTCGGTCTGCGTGACGTTGATCCTCCTGAGGACGTCCATCTCGTCCCTCACTCGCTTCGACAGCTGCGGCGTCACCAAGTTCTTCGCGCTCTCCCGCAACGTTAGCAGGGAATATGCCTGGGATTACATAAAATCGATCGATGACTTGTGCAATTTTATAATCTAGTGCTGAATCCCGTCTCTCTTGGATCCCTAATCCTGTTAACAAAATTAACCTCATTGATGTTAAAAAGATACACCCGTTCAAACCCACATTTAAAATGGAAGGATTGAATGACATTTTGCTCTCGCTTCAAAATATGAAGAAAATATATGTATTTGAGGTTTTATAGATTAAATGTATAAAAAGTAATTCCAAATTCAAATGTCTTTTTTTAGGCTAATCCTATCATCCCCGTTTAGCCACGCCTTAATCTTCTTTTCCATGTAAGGGCTTCAAGCGCAGCCTCTAAGCTGCTTGCAGTGTTGGTATTACTCGCTTTCGGCCACCGATGTAATACTCTCAGGAAACTATAAATTCTGAAAGGAGATTCTGACCAGAGGCTGATTTCCGACGGGTGGCTAAGGAGACCTAACTCGAAGCCGCGTGTAGTGACTACGGGCATAAGCATAGTCGTTATCAGATTTTCGTTGGGGATTTTTTCTCTAGTCGTCCTATATAACTAAAAGTAAGTCTCGGCCGGGCGTTCCAAGGAAGTCCAAGTGAATCCGACACGCGTAGCCCCACGTTTCCTAAGAAATTTATAAAGTTTTTAGGCCGTTATATTGAAGTTGGATAAGATGGTAATTCGAATGCTTCTTTAGACGATGACGACGTTAAAATAAACGTGGCGGCTGACGTTCAAACTTGGGGGAGTTGTGTTCAATTGCGTGCCATTAATTTTAGAACAGCGTCCAAAAAAATCCTTTTTGATTATATATGATACAATATTATATATGATACAATATATATGATACAATATTTTCCGCACCTCTCAGCAATTTTAAGCAACATTACATTTTCTTCTCCATCCTCGCACGGCTCCTCACCCAACACTCACCCCGTACTTTCGCCATAACTTAGCGGGAAGGCGACGGACGTCTTCCGCGAAGAGGGAGCTCAGGTTTCCACGAGCCAGCAGTTCCTTGAAGGTGTTGTTGTAGGCTTCGAACTCCTGCGTGCGCACGATGCGCGACATCCTGAAAACAATGCGATAGTTTCGTTTTGTTTCCAGTCGTAATGTTAGGCCGGGTTCACAACATAATGCCGGGCACACACCAGACATAAGCCATTCACGGTTCAATCTAATATTCTTTAGTGCATTTCAATAAAAGCATTCACACCAGCCGTGTAAGACACCTGCCACGCCAGGCATGATTAAGCCACGATCAAGACAATTGACATGGGGCATTTTGACCGAAACTTGACTGCAGCGTTGCCAAATATTGTTGGGCCTATGTAGTATGCCAGCTTGCTAGCTCAACATACCAAATTTTTAGCAAATATGCCAGATCAAATATATCCATGCCGGACACCATCTCAACATACTAGATTTTTAGAATATGGTAAAGGAATATAACAGTTGGCAACGATGTGTGACTAGCATGGCACGTGATACAAAGGACAGCTCGTGACCGGACTGAATATGTGACCGGACTACAACCAAGCGGCATGGTCACAGCAATGTATGCTGTGACCACGCAATTCATATGTCGTAGTTACTCCGGTACACTTTTTTCCCGGCAAACCTGGACTATGAAGCCACTAGTTTTTGACCTAGCTACGCGATGCACTAAATTTCATCAAGCGTGACGCGGATCATAAACGGTAGTGATCGATCAAAGAACCATTAACGAACGGCAGCAACCTTTGTGATTGGAATTGCCGCTAAAACTAGAACGTTCTGGACAAGCTACTAATAAAAAGTCTACCTATGGATGCATATTGGGACTGTACTCTCAAGATGATGATCATCTTTAATTGCTCGGCAGTGCGCAAGTTTAATTGCACACTCAATTCAAAACTGCTTTTCAGAGTGATATTTTACTCAAATGATTATGGCACGATGAATACAATTGCATAAATGAAATAATATATTCATTGGCCAAATATTGCAAAACTTGCATACCCCGCTCATCAATCTTACATCAATTCCCTAGATATTACTCAGAATAGCTTTGCAGCGTGTGGAAGTTCTTCATATCATTCATCTAATGTCTTGAACTTGCACAGCTTTCGAATGAGCTTCGTGCTAATTTAATCTTTCTTTACGAAAATCATCGTGCTTTTTATGTTGAAATTTTTTAACTTCTTAGGTCATCTTAGTATTTCGTGTTTAACTGTGATCATGAAATATAAATTTTTACCTTTCTTTAAGTATGTAATGTAAGTTTATAATAAGAGAGTGTCTTTCCCATATAATAAGAATGTTTTGTCCTCAGGTAATTTGCAGAAGTAACAAATTCTTCTCTAATATAAGATTATTTAAATAGAATTAATTGCATATAACGGATTGACGAATTTTTAAAATAAGGCAATATCGTCATTCAAATCGGTAATATTTTTAAATTTTTTAATTTAAATTCAAATCAGTAAATTGTAATTTTTTTCTGAATCAGTAACATGCCATCACACTCTCCAAATCATCCTCCCCAATCATATTCTATTCATTCTATAGAATCTGTATAACCAGGAAGACAATCTGTTATTTATCAACATATCAAGTCCCACAATCGGGTACAAAATTAACCCTGACTAACTTTAGCCGACTCGACCTTTAGCTCGTTCTTAATCGCCTATGTTCGATTACAGTCAGGCTAGTGAATCAGTGTTTAATCAGCCAAGGTAATTAATGTGCCTTGGCAACGAGCAACACAATCTGGTCTCGTGGATACGAGTGACCTTGTCGCTCCAGGTCTAACAACGCAACACAACCCACGATCTGTGTTGTGTTTATAGCCACTCAACATTCAGTCGCTACGGAGTTGTTTTTGTTGTGTCAACGGAGTAGCCCATTAATGTATCATATGTTCATACTTCTTAATTTTTGCCAAGTCTTAATTTAATCAAATTTTATCTCATCAGATGAGAAACTCTCAAAACCAAATACTGTGTAATTGAGCATAAGTGCGCCATTTAACCCAAAACTGTTCTTTCCATGCGAATGGTTTTTTTCATTAATAGAGTTTCCAACCATGGAAATAAATTAATTCCATTCAAGATGTTGCCGTTTTACACAAGGTATATATTTTTCCAATGATTTGCCTCTAATTATTTTGTCATATTCTGATATTCAGTCATCAAAAATGTAAAATTGTTTTAGGAAAGTTCCACTTCACTCTGAACGGTTCAGTCTAAATTTGAGTACATAAGATACTAGCCAAGTTACTTAACCTGCTTAATCTGCAATCTGTATCAGCAAACAGTTTTAAAAAAGTTGCTTCATATGCCAGTGCTGTGGATTCACAGCGACTAAATGCAAACAAGGTATAAGCATTGTTATGATCACAATAACAATAATAACAATCGACCTATGATTGTCATTTGACAGCAACATACAGTCAGTTAATCGCAGGCGGGATTCCAGTTATTTTTCAGATTACTCTTGTTTTCTTTTCAAACTTTTGGACTTCTAATTTTTAGTTCTAGTGTCTAAAAGCTCTATTTGTCATCGAGGTCTGTGTAAATTTAATTACAGCCAATAAGGTAAATTATTTTCGTTTTACCTGGATAATTTTCTACCCAGCTGGCATTTATTGTCATTATTTCTACCGCTCAGCTCCTGCTTACTCCCAACAGCGTCGAAGTGCGAGGTCATTCAAAAATAAATGCAATTTTCCGCATCCAAGTCCCTAAAACGCAACCTAGCTACGACAAGTCACCCTCCATTGACCTGGAAGAATTCCTACTAAAATCTTGCCGACATGCTACCGCGCCGCAAAGTCATGTTCTTGGTGAATTTCTTAAAATATAACTCAGTACTCACTGCATTGAGTGACAGAGAGCACATTTTCTCGTTGACGAAAACGTGAAGTCACGGAAGGACGGACAGACGGGCAGACTGACGGACGGACATGGCGAGCACAATAGCGCCTTTTTTCCATAAATGAGAAAATGCGCTAAAAATGAGCAGAAAGGCACGGCTTAATTAAGAGGAAATAAATGGAAGAGGGGAAGGAGGAAGGATAAACTGACGAGCGAGTATCAATCTTATTGCCAATGAAAAAGTTCAAAGTGTAGAATCGGGACGAACTATTTCCCTTACGAATCACCTTACTCTCAATTCCACTCACGATAGTACTATCATCGGCTTATTTTTTTAAGGGTAGCCGATAAGCAGGGTGTAGTGAAAGTTATTTAAACGTTTCTATAATTAATGCATCGTCATAAGGTAGCTGGCATAGAAATATTTATTTTGATTGAAGAACAGTGACGAATTTTCTGTTCAATAAAAATCTATAATTCAATAAGAAATGTACAATACTGTGACTCGTTTAAATTTGAACTGAGATAGATGAAGAAATACTGTTTCAAATGTTCGCTCAATCATCACAGTAGAAATTTTCCTTGGCCAATTTTCAGCATTACCATTTACATATATAAATAGTTGATAGTAATATGTTTCATGGTGCCGTTTTTAGAGAAAGATTAAAGAGAACTATCACTATATTTGATGAAATTTTTGTTAGAATTCGCTTAACAATTGTGATCTTAACTAAAATTATCATTCAAAACATACGAGTGATTGAAAATATTTGAGTGTTTCTTGGGTTAGAGAATCAGTTAATGCGGGACATTGATGGAGATGACCGCTTTACCACAAGGAGCCCTGCTGTTTTGTTAATTTAATTTGTTTACAGGATCTGTAACTTTTGATCATTTGGTTCCTAGACTATTTCATTTGTAAATCAAGCTTCTCTAAACATATATATTATTGCAAACTTTCTGCAAAATACATGTCCTGGAACATTCGTATCAATATCCTACAAGACGGTGCGCCAGAAAATAGAAGTTACTTAACACTATAATTTGAGATAACCATCAAACGGAAGATTTTTCATTGTTAAATAAAAAATAATTTCGTTATACATTCATAACAACGAAACGGTGAGACGAGAAGAGAAACCGCAAAGTCTGTACAATCATCCGTGAGATATCCAGCATGCAGACGGTTGGACAACGCAAGCAACACACGCAGCAAGCCTCCTCAATTATCCAGTTATTCAAGCACTTCGGACAGTACTCACTACACAGAACCAACACGACCACGCCTCGGTTTGCTTTACAGATCCATTTACTTGTATTCTAAACAGTTTTACAGCCTTCTGTCTCTCTCTCCTTTACTTACAAATTTCCTAACGGTACTTGTTCACGATCCGTTATTTGGAAATATTCACTATCTGTCGACTAGCTTATCACTGTTGGTCATTTTGATATATTTAGCCTTAGCACCAGAATGCGAAAAGCTTAGCGCTGTAGGTGCAAATAATGACCAATTTATTTCATTTCAACGAATGGTTCTGATCAAGCATTTTTTATAAGTACTAGTCATATTATCAAACTAATGAGAATTGATTGAAACTAAATTATAATTCAACGATAACGTTGCTCTACATATACACGAATTAAATAACGTTATAAAGAACTTTGCCAGCAATTATTGCATCTTCGCAAATACGAGTTAAAACCACCACTTATCCACCACTTGGCAGTCACATCATTTGCTCAACACCAGACCGTTCGAGTTACTTAATGATCGAATGTTACGCAGCTTTTAAACATGAAATTACTAGTTTAACAGCCCTTATTAATTTAATTTAACTTAAACTAATCACTTATTCATTGGACATAATCCTTTATTTAGCCTTTTTTCGAAGCCTTTAGAGACCTCAGTCTTAAGGCTTTTAAAAACAAAGGCTGTCCTTCTCAGTCCTCCTTCTTAAGGTAGCCATGATTCAGCAGTTACTGGAACTAATAATTTATTTAGGCTCTGTATTGACTGAGGAGTGAGGACCGCTCAGCCTTAAAGTAGCCATGATCAAGACGCTGGCAGAATAAATCCTTAATTTAGGCCACAAGCACTTGCTATTCGCATGCTATTTTACCTAGCCAAATTGTTGAGACTTATCATTAGCGAGTGCATCGAGAGAAAAATGTTAATTGCGCGCGCTTTCCAGCATTTACTTCATATCGATAATA